GACAGTGAGAACAATTAACCAGTGGAACAACCTGCCTCCAGAAGCGGTGAATGCTCCAACACTGGAAGTTTTTAAGAAGAGACTGGACAGCCATTTGTCCGAAATGGTATAGGGTTTCCTGCCTGAGCAGGGGGTTGGACTAGATGACCTTCAAGGTCCCTTCCAACTTTACTATTATTATTATTAATAATAATAATAACTTTAAAAGGTATGGACTTCCACTCCATACTGGCTGGGGAATTCTGGGAGTTGAAGTCCATACCTGTTAAAGTTCCTGAGGTTGAGAAACACTGGTCTATAGGAAACAGCTGTCAGGAAACCTGGTGGTGTGTTATCAAGGAAGGAAGTTAATTTGACTCACAGGGTGAGGCCATGACCGCACATCAATGTTGAAAACCACTTGTGGTCTCCCTTTGTCCAAAGGACAAGTGTTAAAAAATAAAAAGGGGTCTGCCCCAGGATAGAAACGGGAAAAGTTGGCGTTCCGTGCCAAGAGCGAACAGGCAAGACCAAAATCGCAAAGAAGGAGACGGTCATCAGTTGTGGAAAATGTAAAATAATCCAGGGAAGCAGTAAATTAGAGGTGGGCAGCAATTTTATCCAGCCCTGGAGGAGAGAGCAATTTTCTCTCCAGTGCTCCATTTCAATGTGCTTCATTCCTTATTAAGGTCACCGGCCTCTTCGTTCTGGGTGGAATTTTATCTGCTCAGCTCAAGTATGACAAACAATAAATGCTATGTGTGCAAAATTGCCAATTTTTGCTTCTGATGCTGTCTCTACTCCTGGTTGCCAGGTCATACCGCTCTTGATCTCAGAAAAAGAATGAGAGTTTTGCATAAATTTGCAGAACTGGGCGAAAAGAAAGGCGGAGGGGTGTTATTTTCACACTGGGCAAAGCTCGGTGCCTTGAAACCGCGCCCAATTGTTTTGTTGCTTTGAGAGATGTGCAAGTGTCACCGGTTTGTTTGAAGTTGCCGTACACCACACTTAGGTCTTATACCCGAATTTGTTGTCCTTCTCTTTCTACTAATTCGAATCCTGTAACACGTTTACATCCTACCTTTGAATAGTTCCTCTCTAAGTTAGATCTTAATTCCTCTGTAAAAGACTGTCACTCCTGTTAATTGGTCACCTTGTCGAACGGAAGTCTTCAACACCTACGAGGTAATGACCTGGTTTTTAAGAAGAGACTGGACAGCGTTTTGTCCGGAATGGTAAAGGGTCTCCTGCTTGAGCAGGGGGTTGGATTAGAAGACCTCCAACGTCCCTTTCAACTCTGTTATTCTGTTGTTATTCTGTTATTCAGTCACCTTGTTAGGCAGGTTGTGTGAACATAACCAGCAATACCTGGACTTCCTTTAGATTTTGTGAGCAACCCAGTATTATCGCACGACAACATTTTCTAAGACAACCCAACATCTCTCTCCAGAGTTTTCAAAAATGATCTAGTAGTTCTTAAGAGGTGGCTGGACCTTGCTGACTTCAGCTAATCTCAAACAGCCCAGAATGGTGAGACCTGGGAGTGGAATGATGAGAGGTCTGGATGGGAGACCACCAGGAAATCTGAGGGCTGAGAAATCAAAAGATACCCCAAAAGAAGGAAGGCCACTTTTCTATCACTGCCAAAACAAAAAGTTAAATTAAATTCAGGTGAACCCCACTGGATCCTAACTCAACTTTTTAAGTTTTCAGACACACCTTTTTCAGACAAACTCAACATCTGTCTGAAATGTGATAAGCCCGGTAGCAAACCACGGACCAGGGGTTGGGGACCCCTGTGTTAAAGCATCTGGACAGGAGAATTCTGGGAGTTGAAGGTGGAACGAAGCAAGCAATTGTGAAATCTTAGATAAAACCGAGATCCCCTCCCCTCCCCGGTTTTCCAAAACCTTAGAGCAGTGGCCCCCAACCTTTTGGACACCAGGGACTAGTTCCATGGAGAGGCTTTTCCTTGCACTGGAGTGGGCGTGGTTTTGCATGTTGCCTGCACCCCACCGATGGGGCGTTTGTTTGTGCAGCCTGGTTTCTGGCATGCCATCGGGAGTTGGGGACCCCTGTCATAGAGGCATATCAATAACGGCCCTAACTCCCACCAGCTTGCATAGATTGGGGAAGTATGGGTGATTAGGAAGGAGGATTATCCATGTTAATTCGCTCTTAATTTGGCATGGAATTTTGTTGCTTTAATTTTGTTGCTCATGACCCTTGAGGAATCTCCTGTACATTTCTTTGCATCTCTCAGAGGCAACCTAATCATACCTATGGGGTCCTTGGTGCTCTCTGAGCTTGGTGGTTTTCTTGCAGACGTTTCACTACCCAACTAGGTAACATCATCAGTGCCGGAAGGGAAGGAGGTTTGCTCATTCTAGCACTGATGATATCCCTTAGTTGGGTAATGAAATGTCTGCAAGAAAACAACCCAGCTCACAAATGACCAAGGACCCCTCATTTCAACCCTGAGCCACAAACAGTCTCTTCTATTGGCCCCTCATACCTGTATGTCGCAGGGATGTCCGGCCAGGACGAGGCAGCGAGAAACTAAAGGACCGGGCTGGCAGGGATACTGACCCATCAAGGCTGACACTCTTGGCACGTTTGCGGCACTCAACCGAAAGCAGGTCCCGGCACTGTTTGTGGCAAGTCACCCCACAGGCTGGGAGGAAGGAGAGAAAAGAGTTGAAGAGAACCAGCACCAAACCTACAGCCCAGCAACTTCAACCCTGGAGAACTCCAGATGGATAGACCTCAGCTTCCAGAATTCTTGGCGATGGGCATGGTGCCTGGGGAATTCTGGGAATTGAGGCCCGTGAATATACAAGTAGTTCTCGACTTACAACCACAAGTGAGCCCAAAATTTCTGCTGCTAAATAATATAGGTATTACGTGTTAAATGTTTGCCCTATATCCGTGGTGGCGAACCTATGGCACGGGTGCCAGAGGCGGCACTCAGAGCCCTCTCTGTGGGCACGTGCGCCGTCGCCCCAGTCCTAGGCCTTCAGCTGGGTTTTATAAAACCTTTACACTTTAGGCCTCCGCCGCCATGTGCAAAAAAAAAAAAAGGTTCAATCAGTCAATTTCAACTTCTTGCGGGAAAAAAAAGATCTTGCAAAGTTGGAATTGATTGATTGAACTTTTTAGTCCCACCCAGTCTGCCCTTACCACCGCAGCCACGTCCACCCAATTGGCCATGGCCACCCAATGAGCCACACCCACCCGGCACCCGACAATACATAAGTGGGTTTTGGGTTGCAGTTTGGGCACTCGGTCTCTAAAAGGTTCGCCATCACTGCCTATATTATGTCCTTCCTTGCCAGAGTTGTTAAGTGAATCCCTGCAATTGTTAAGCCAATAACACGGTTGTTAAATGAATCTGGCTTTTCCATTGACTTCACCTGTCAGAAGGTCGCAAAAGGTAATCACATGATTTTCCAGGACACTGCAACCTTCATAAATACAAGTCAGTTGCCAAGAGCCTGAATTTTGATCACGTGACCATGGAGAGGCTGCCATGGTCGTAAGTGTGAAAAATGGTCATAAGTCTGATGGCCAAATATGGCTCTTTTAGGCTCGTGCCCCAGCATGCATATTTTCCGATGAGACAAACCGAGACAGGAAGATCCTTTTATTACAATTTATCAGAATATTCAGACAAAAGGGATTCGTCTCATTCAAAGGGGGAACCCAGATCTTTAGCTTACAACACCTTTTATAGTTAGTATAACATAGAAACATCCAAGAGGAAAGTTGATTGGACAGGATAAAAGTAATCTCCCTTTTGCATAGGAAATCAGTTACATGTGGTCAAGCATGTTACACATTTGCATCCCATAATATCACACATGTTCATTAAAATGAGGTCTGACCTCAGAAGGGGCATAAATTGTAAGGAAAAAGGTTGTTTAGAGTTCACTAAAGAGATAAACCAGAGCCCAATTTGTACTAATAAACTTTTTCTTATCTTCAGATAATCTTCAGCCTGTTTATCTCTTCAATTTAGGAATGTTAAAAGCTATTCCTAAATTCCTGTCTGTATTGTACCTGAACAGAGAAAATAATCAGTCTGAAGAATTTATCTTTTCAGTTTAGGAATGTTAAAAGCTAGAACCAATCCATGCGACTATCCCCTTATTCCAATCCGTAATGAACCAATATTATTTTGAAAGAGAGAAAATACATCAAATTAAAATACAAAATGTGTTAGTTAACAAATTACAAAAATCCATGTCATTTGTCCCTCAAGTCACTTTTTTCAATGCCATTGTAACTTCAAACGGTCACTAAATGAAATGTTGTAAGTTGAGGACTAACTGTATAGTGCAAAATTGCAGAACTGCTTCAACAGTGAGACAGTCGGCGTATAAAGTTAATAACTAAAAATAAACAAATTTCAACTCCCAGAATTCTTAGCAATGGCCATATTAACTAGCTAGGAATTCTGGGAATTGAAATTCACACAGTCCAAAGACATAAGCAACGTTATCCAGAGAACTGCTGCTAAAATGATAGGGAGACTAGTGAAAATGTCTTCAAAATACCTCGACATTTTAGTCCTTGCTTGTAGAGGCCAATGATCTGGAAAGAGAAAGAGAGAGATTAGTTCTGGTTGCAACAAATTGTGGACTTTTTTTTTTTTTAATGGCACAGGAGCTTGGCTTCAAATGCAGAAAAATCAGTCATACTGAGTCAAAGTCCCTTATTCATTCTCTAATGCAGAGTTTCTCAGCTGTGGTAATGTTAAGACGTGTGGACTTCAACTTCCAGAATTCCCCAGAGTTGACGTTCATACATCTTAAAGTTGCCAAGGTTGAGAAACAGTACTCTGATGCTTTAATATTACTGAAGCTACGTTAAATTTCCCTTGGTGACTGATTAAAACTTTGCCATCTCAGATTTTGGCTGAAGCAAATCTATTGGGGAACATCCTTGGTCCACTTTACCTTGTAGACAAGTTCTCTTTCATCCTAAAAAACCCCCCCAATTAATTATGATTTGGTCTTTCTTTGCCAACTTTCTCTGTGTTAGGCCTTGATAAAATTTTGATTGAACTTAACCAGAGGATTTGGGATTTAGAGAGCTACTAAATTGCTTCAGGATTTTCTTGCAATTTTAAAAAAACATTTTATTATATTTATGATATTGTTGGTAAATAAACTTGGATTGACTGATTAACCATAAACAGAATCAGCTGCCCTCGGAAGAAGCAGCTGACCAGTTTTAAACATAATTCTTAAACTTATATCTTAATTAAATCCTCGAGGAGGCTAATGACAAAAGTAAAAACTACCTGGAGATGAGTTAACGCTCAGTGGCTGATAGACCTGTCTGTATAATTTTTGTGCCAGCCATCACAAAATCAGGGAGTTGAAAGGGACCCCAAAAATGAACTAGTCCACTTCAGACCTGGCACTTTAACAAAGGTGGACTTCAATTCCCAGAATTCCCCAGCCAGTCATGCTTGAAGATGGGTAGACTTCAACTCCCAAAAAGCTTGCTGGATGAATTCTGGGAGTTGATGTCCACCCATCTTAAAACTGTCTAGTTGGGAACCACTGCTTTAAAGCAAAAAGAGGAAATGCTGGCCGGGGCATTCTGGGAGTCGAAGTCCACAGATCTTAACAGTAGCCAAGTTAGAGAAAGCCTGATGGGCTTCGGTGCTCCAATCTAGCCGGCGCCAAGCACTGCTGCGACCGCGAGTGTAGGAAACCAGCTCACCAGTCCCTTGCAGTGACGGCAAGCGACTGGGCGCAGGAAGGTGGTCTCGTTGAAGCTGTGGATGAAGCCCATCTTCCTGTTCAGCTGCAAGCTGGACTTCATGAAGTAGGACACCATCTCCTCCCGACTGATGCAACCATCTCTGTTGGGCAGGGAAGGCCATTAACAGGCGGATAGATCATTTGGGGGGGAAAAAAACACCTCCCAAAGAGTCCCAAATAGGGGCCCCTAGCTGTGTTGGACCACAACTCCCAACGTTCCCAAACACGGGTGCCTCACGCCAATGTCTCTGGAGGAAACCCTGTTGGCTAAGGTCATCCCAGGATAGGGCTACCTTTGAAGGACAGCCATTCAAAGCCCAAGACTTTGTTTAGTCGCTAATCATTAAAAGAATTCATTTTAAAACCCATTTTCATCCCCAAAGACCCCCAGATCGAAGCTGTGTAAGAACCCCTGCCTCCAGGTGTGGCTTCAAAAACATACAAGGAAAACACAACATACAAGGAAAGATGGAGGAGGAGGGAAGAGGAAAACAGAAAAATGTCATCGCGTTCTTTGGACAATAGAATCTGCATATTCAGCAGTAGTGTATCTTAGGAATATCCCATAATAAATATCAGGGCAGCTTTTACCGTCCTGCTGATATTACAACGCTGTTTGTCTGGGTGATCCTATACAGCTAGTCCTCGACATACAACCACAATTCAGCCCAAAATTTCTCTTGCTAAGCATGAGAGCTGTTAAGTGAGTATTGACCCATTTTGACCTTTCTTGCCACAGTTGTTAAGGGAAGCACTGCAGCTGTTAAGCTAGCAACTTGGCTGGTAAGTGAATCTGGCTTCCCCGTTGATTTTGCGTGCCTGAATGCCACAGAAGGTGATCGCGTGACCCTGGGAAACTGCAACCATCATAAATATGAGTCAGTTGCCAAGCCTGAATTTTGATCCTGTAACTATGGCAAATCTAGACAGCATACTCAAAAGCAGAGACATCACCCTGCCAACAAAAGTGCGTAGAGTCAAGGCCATGGTTTTCCCAGTTGCAATGAATGGCTGTGAAAGTTGGACCCTAAGAAAGGCCGAGCGCCAAAGAATGGAGGCCTTTGAACTCTGGTGCTGGAGAAGACTCCTGCGAGTCCCCTAGACTGCAAGGCGGTCAAACCGGTCAGTCCTAGAGGAAATCAACCCTGACTGCTCTTTAGAAGGCCAGATCCTGAAGATGAAACTCAAGTCCTTTGGCCACCTAATGAGAAGGAAGGACTCCCTGGAGAAGAGCCTGATGCTGGGAAAGATGGAGGGCAAGAGAAGAATGGGACGACGGAGAAGGAGGTGGCTGGATGGAGTCCCTGAAGCAGCAGGCGTGAGCTTCAATGGACTCCAGAAGATGGTAGAGGACAGGAAGGCCTGGAGGAACGTTGTCCATGGGTCGCGATGGGTCAGACAAGACTTTGCAACTAACAACAACAACAACAACCAGGGGGATGCTGTAACGGTTGTAAATGTGAAAAACAGCCATAAGTCACTTTTTTTTCCAGTCATGTTGTAACTTTGAATGGTCACTAAATGAACTGTTGTAAGTGAAGCACTACCTGTATTCTGTGTTCTATGCTACCTATACCATAGACGTCCAACCACTGGGCCATTATATCTCCAGCCAGCCAGGCCTCTTTCCTGCCACCCATCACTTTATCCCATCCCTGCAACATCCTGTTAACGTATGACAGACGTGACAGACTTCCCGTGTGCCCTTCTCCCACTATCTTTCCTCGGGATGCTGTGTGAGGTTTTGTTTTTGTTCTTTTCCTGTTTTTATCTTTTTGGGTAGTTTGCAGGCAGGACTTTTTTAAAAAAAAAACTTTTTTTTTTTTTTGTAGAAACCGCAGGGCAAACAAAGGCGTGCCTGCCGACAAATATTTTTAGCAGATGAAAGCAAGGTCAGGCAGAGGAAAGAAAAAAAGAAAAAAAAACACCCTGGGGGGGGCCTTCCCTTTTTGACTGTTGAAGAATCCTGCACAGCTCTAAAATGTGCACAACTTTTGGAAAACCAGTGCACATTTTAATCCTGAGATGGAGACTTTTCTGAAAGGGGCCTGCAGCTCACTGGATTTTGCATGAAAAAAAGAGAGAGAAAGAATCCCCCCCCCAAATACATTTGCTTTACAACCTCTTCTCTTATCCCATCACATCTTTTTTTTCATGCAAAATCCAGTGGGCCGCAAGCCTCTTTTAGAAAAGCCTCCATCTCAGGATTAAAATCTGTGCTGGAGGAACAGAAAACGATCCTCACGTTCCTTTGGACAATAGAGTCTCCATATTCAGCAGCAGTATATCTTAGGAATATCCTATAGTAAATATCAGGGCGTAACATTTGCCCTTTTTACGGTACAAGTTGAGAAAAAGGAGAGTCTTGAACCCTAGTAACCATACAGGTAGTGAACTGATGTTGTCAAGAGCCCCACCTATTTTCCCCCCCTTTTTCCCACACCCTTTGAGCTTAGGGGAAACCCACAAAGACCGACTGAGAGAATGAGAGGGCGCGGTAGCCCAGCCAGAGCCGAAGAGCACCAAATAAGGAGCGATGCGGCTGTTTGAGAAGCAAAACTGCCTTGCAGAAGTTCCCACTTCGTCTCCCAGTAGAGATCTGCAGCCGAATTCAAAGGGGGAGCCTGCTCAGTGCCTGGGTTCGCTCCCAAGGGATGGAGAGCATTGCCAGGACATATTTTGGCTCCGGCATCCAGGCCTTTAAACAGGACATGACATTCATCCCTGGCTTTTTTTCCCTCCCTTCTTCCTTTGCTCAGACACACAGCAAATCTCTGGAGCATGTTAAAGCTTTGTTTGCGACGCAGAGGAGAAATGGATGCAGAAAAAAAGGCTTTTAAAATGCTCCTAGTTCAAAGCCAAAGGTGCTAGTGCAATGAATCAAATTAGGAGCATTTTAAAACCTCTTAAATTCACCTTTTGTGGAATCAAACTAGGAGCATTTTAAAATGTCTTAAATGCACCCTTTTTTGGAATTGATCTTGGAGCATTTAAAACTCTTCGCTTTTTTTTTAAATCAAACTAGGAGCATTTTAATATATCTTAAATGCACCTTTCTTTGGAATCAAACTTGGAGCATTTTAAAAAACCTCTTTTTTCTGCCACTTCCCCCCTTCTATCTAAGCATCACCACAGCTATTATTGTGGCAGAGGTTTGTGGACAAACATGCCATTTATCAGTAGCAATCAGTGATAAATCTCAGTTATCCACCTGGTGCATCTGATAAAATGAACATGGGCTGGCTGGGTTAAATATAGGTTAAATACTGTAATAACTATTAAAAATTGTATTCTTATTCGAGCAAGAATGTTTCCCATATCTACAACACATTACGCAGCATGGCCAAAATAAATGCTTTGTAGAGGGCCTAAAGGCTTATACTACAAACATCGCAAACTGGCTGAGGAACAAAAAAGTTAGAAATCACCCAATTGTACAATCTTTTTTCCCATGGTTGTTAAGTGAACCAATACAGCTGTAAAGTGAATCAGGTGGTCATTAAATGAATCTGGCTTTCCCTGTTGACTTTACTTGTCAGAAGCTGGCTGGGAAGGTCGTAAATGGTGGTCACATGACCCCGAGCTGCTGTAACCATTGTAAATGCAGGTATAACTCGACTTACAAGAGTTTAGTGTTTAGTGACCGTTCAAAGTTACAACGGCAGTGAAAAAGGTGACTTATGACCCTTTTTCTCATAATGACCACTGCAGCATCTCCACGGTCACATGATTAAAATTCAGACGCTTGGCAACTGACCCATATTTATGACGGTTGTAGTGTTCCAGGATCATGTGATCACTTTTTGTGACTTTCTAACAAGCAAACTCAATGCAGAAGCCAAATTCATTTAAACAACCATGTTATTAACATAATAATTACAGTGATTCATTGAACAACTGTGGCAAGAAAGGAGGAAATGGGGCAAAACTCACTTAATATTCTACGTTCTAGAACTAGGGGTCTCCAAACTTAAGACTTGTGTCTTTAAGTCCCTAAAATCACTAGGCATTTGCTGGAATTAAATCACACAGAAATAATATAATGTACAAGGAAACAGATGAAATGTGGCGAGGCTGTGGGACTTTTAGCACTTACTGATTCTCATCCAGGTCTCCAAATTTGCAGAGATATGGAAAATTATTCCGAATAATCTGGAATTCTTCTTGGGAAATATTTCCATCTCCGTCCACATCAAAATTCCGGAAAACAGACTAAAAGAAAAGAAGGATTTGAGAGGAAGCCGGAAAGCTATAGCTTGGGGTTTCCAAACTTGGCAATTGGGCCACAGCCCACTATATGCATCCAGCGTGCGCGCTCAGCCCTGTTCATGTAAGCGGCAACTTCTGGTACTTGCAGCCCCGCTTGCGTGAGCCGTGGTTGTTGGCCCCACCCAAATGAACCTAGCGGGTGAACCTGTTCTCCAAAGCGCTTGAGGGCAGGACAAGAAGCAAAGGATGGAAACTAATCAAGGAGAGAAGCAACCTGGAACTAAGGAGAAACTTCCTGACAGTGAGAACAGTGGAAGGACTTGCCTCCAGAAGTTGTGGGTGCTCTAACACTGGAGGTTTTTAAGAAGAGATTGGACAGCCATCTGTCTGGAATGGTATAAGGTCTCCTGCCTGAGCAGGGGGTTGGACTAGAAGACCTCCAAGGTCCCTTCCAACTCTGTTATTCTGCTATCTGTTAAGATAAATGTCATAGCACCTCCTATAGTGGCTCTTGGACTTAAGCATCACGGCTTCTTTCCATTTCTCCTACTTCCCTATGACCAAATACTCAAAATTGGAGTGGTCCTATTGGTGGAATTTTAAGACTCAGCATCTTCATATATGCAAGGTATCCAGCTGGGGAAGGCTGAGCTGTGCAGAACTATTTAAAATAGAATGATCCAGCAGACAATTATTCTGCAGAACTGACTCATATTTTCCAAGAATTTTACCGACGTGCTAATGGGCCGGGAAGATCTTGAATGAATTATGCACGAACTACGTCTCCTGACAGCGCCCCCACACACCACCCATTCCGTATTCCAGGTATCCTGGTTTCCTACCTCCACCATCTTCTCGATGTGTTTGCGCACAATTGCTTGGTCTGGCTTCGGTTTGGGCACCGAGGCCCACTCCTCGATCATAACAGGCTGGGGCGGGGGGCTAGAGAATGTGGGACTGGAAGGCTGGAGCAGAGAAGAGGAAGAAAATGGAAGGAGGAATTCATTGTGTCAAAACTGAACAGAGACATCATGAAGTGACTCAAAGCAAATACAGGTAGTCCTCGGCTTACGGCCGCAATTGAGTCCAACATTTCTGTTATGTGAGACATTTGTTAAGTGAGTTTTGCCCCCTTTTACAATCTTTCCTGCCACCGTTGTTAAGTAAATCATTGCAGTTGTTAAGTTAGTAACAGGGTTGTTAAGTGAATCTGGCTTCCCCATTGACTTTACTTGTGAGAAGGTCGCAAAACGGGATCACATGACCATCAGAATGCTGCAATGGTTCTAAGTGTAAAAAACGGTCATAAGTCACCAACCTTCTCCTCATACAGGTAGGCTTTGACTTACAACCATTCATTTAGTGACTGTTCGGACTTAAAACAACACTAAAACAACACTGAATGCATTTGGGTCAATATAAAAGGGGAGGAAAATGACATTGCCATAGGTATATAGTATACTAGAGTCCACCCAACCAAACAGAGGAAATAGATGAACTTTTTGCTAGTCAACTAACTAAGGTATGTAGGAAGCACATCACAATAGTAATGGGGGACTTTAATTACCCTGACATCAACTGGGAGACAAACTCTGCACCAAGTGAAATCACATCCCACCTCTCAGGGTTGAAATGTGGCCCAGCGCACCTTCCCCAGCCAGGTGTGATCTGAAGACCCCCATCCTGGTTTACAAGACCCCTGCACATACCGTAGACTTGTTTCGGGGTTCGCGCTGCAAAGAGAGTTGATAAATTTCCTCCTCTGTTTGATATTGATCCAGAGAGACCTACCAGAAAGACAATCAATCAATCAATTAAATCCTCATTACGGTCACAAACCAGCATAGAAACACAATGAAGTCAGAATAAGGAGCCATCAACAGAATCCCTTCCTACTCCCTTCTTCTCTCCAAAAGTGAGTATTTTTCAAATTATATTATAGGTAGTCCTCGGCTTGTGACCACAATTGAGCTTATAATGTCTGTTGCTAAGAGAGACAATTGTTAAATGGGTTTGCCCCATTTTACGACATCCCTTGCCACAGTTGTTAAGTTGATAAAGTTAGTAACCCGGTTGTTAAGTGAATCTGGCTTCCCCCATTGACTTTGCTGGTCAGAAAGTCGCAGAAAGGGACACTGCAACGGTCAGAAGTATGAACCAGTTGCCAAGCGTCTGAATTTTGATCATGTGACCACGGGCATACTGCAAAGGTCGTAAATGTGAAAAAGTGGTCGTCAGTCACTTTTTTCAGTGCCGTTGTACCTTCGAACGTTCACTAAACGAGCTGCTGTAAGTCGAGGACTACCTGTGCAAAAAGAATATGTACTAAGAGCTCCAGGAGGGTCTGGCTGGAGGATCTTACCATGAGCAGGTTGAGAAGGTCAGGGTTGGCCTCAAAAGGCGGGCGGATGCTTTGAACCATGGCCAGGTCGCTGAGGATGCTAAACAGCTGCTGCATCTTATTGCCGTTCAGGCGGGAGTGCGTCCGGTCCAGCCAGTCGGGAAGAGCCACGTGAACAGCCACCAGGTCCTTGAGGTGGACTCCTAAGATGGGGAACTTGAACCCCACGCACTCTGCAAAACACCGCCGGTAGCGGCTATAATTCCCTGCCGAGGACAACAACTCCAGCAGCGACTCCCAGACCTGCAACAGAGTCGGGCAAGGGGAAAGTTGGTCTCTGCTAATGAAGCTTTAAGGAGGGCATTGCCCATGAGGACTAGTCACTTGATTCTATTTGTGGGGAAAAAAACTCAGAATGCCGGGGGGGGGAGGGGAAACATGGCCTTGGATTGGATACCACGGTGAAGAAACAAGGCATGAAACACCGCAGCAGGTCCTTTTTATTCATTTATTTATTTTTTCACCCTATTAATTATAATAAATAGAACGCCACAAATAGAATCAAGTGACTAGTCCTCATGGGTAATAATGCCCTGCTTAAAGCTAATTAATGAATTATTCTCCCAACAGAGAGGATAAAACAAATAGCCATCAGCTTTACAAACGGATGCTTCCTTTCTTCCTTGTTATTTCTTTCAAGGCAGTTGTGAATAGTTTTCTACCTTTGTGTATCGGTTTTTAAGTTGCTGTTTTTTTAATAGTTGGGAGCCGCCCAAAGTCACTATACTGTAAGGACCCACCACCACCAAAATAGAATAGAATATTCTTTATTGGTGTGATTGGACACACACACATAAGGAATTTGTCTCCGGTGCATAAGCTATCGATGTACATCCAAGCAACGTGATAAATAACGATCGTAATCATAAAATACAATTATCATAAATCATAAGATACAACGCTCAGCGATAGCCATAAAATGATCCAACGATTCCTCTTGGCTGGCATTCGTTACTTTATTAGAGCTGAGTTGGAAGTGACCCTTGAGCTCATCTAGTCCCACCCTCGGGGAGTCTGGCAGTAATCCGCTCATTTCCGCTCAGATGCCTCCAGCCTCTCCCTTAGTCAAAGGCTCCACTATTTTTGTTGGGAGGAATTTTTTCCCCTTGGCTCCAGAAACAGACCCCTGTGTGGTATGCGGAGTAAGGAAGGGCTCCAGACTTCTCCCTGTCTCATCCAGGCACTCCTTCTGATACCCCCAGCCAGCCCACGCCTTCGTTCTAGGTCCTCCTCTGCATCCCTTGGAGCAACTGGTTCTCCCCCTCCCCTTATGCACACCTTTGTTCCTTACCTTTGTCGTCTCTGGACTCACAAAGCTATGCGTCTCCTTGAGGCGAGAGATGGAACTGTGGCCCAGCCCGCCGATCACAGCCATCAGGGTGTTGAAATTTTGCAGATGGAGAAGTCTCTGCAAAGGGGGGGGGAGAAGGGGGCAAGAGATTGTGTATGTGTGGCGGGGGGGCAGGGAGAAGAGATGCAATCAGTGGCAGTCCATCACACAACCACACCCTCCTTTGGCCTCCGCTGTGGTCTCCTTTCCACTCGGCTCCTGTTCTGGGTTTGGGAGGTAAACTGAGGTCAGCCAAGTGCTGGCTCTGAATTGAGCTCTCGGAGGAAATACAGGTAGTCCTCACCTTATGACCACAGTTGAGCCCAAAATTTTTGTTGCTGGGCGAGACACATGCTAAGTGAATTTTAGACCCTTCTTGCCACCGTTGTTAGGTAAATCACTGCAGTTGTTAAATTAGCAACACTGCTGTTAAGTGAACCCGGCTTCCCCATTGACTTTGCTTGTCAGAAGGTCACAAAAAGTGATCACATGACCCCAGGACATAGCAACGGCCATAAATATGAGTCAGTTGCCAAGCGTCTCAATTTGGATCGTGTGACCATGGGGATGCTGCAACGGTCGTAAGTGTGAAAAAGGATCTTAAGTCACATTTTTCAGTGCCGTTGTACCTTCGGACAGTCACTAAATGAGTGGTTGTAAGTCGAGGACTACCCGTACTGGATTCTTTTTTTAAAAAAAAATCTACAATCATAGAAGCAAATGTTTATTAACTCCTTAAAGCACCTTCCCTTCTCTCTCGCTGTTCAAGGAAAATCATTTTGGTAAAAAGGGATGTTGTAAACTTCATGCCATCCAGTGTAGAGATGAACCAAATGCACTGGGGTTTTTTTTGAATGCACCTGTGAATCTTGTTGAGAACTGGAGAGCCTTTGTACAAAATAACAGAACTTGCAGCACTGTTCAACAAGTTCTGGAGTTATTCTGGGCAGTCAAAATAGGTCTAAGGGCCATATTTGCAGTGCTTCTATCTATCTATCTATCTATCTATCTATCTATCTATCTATCTATCTATCTATCTATCTATCTAATCTCTCTATTTATTATATCTGTCTCTCTATTTCTCTGTCTCTCTATCTATCTATCTACCGGTACCTACTGGTGCCCGCCCGCCCGCCCATCCATCCATCCATCCATCCATCCATCCATCCATCCATCCAATCTATCTAATCTATCTAATCTATCTAATCTATCTACCATCTATCCACACACATTCACACAGCCCCTTGTATGCCACCCTTTTTCCTGATCTTAAAAAAATAGACAATGCAGTGTTTCTTAAGCTTAGCAACACTAAAATATGTGCAATTCCCAGAATTCCCCAGCCAGCATTCTGGGAGTTGAAGTCTACCGGTCCTAAAGTGGTTAAGGCTGAAAAACACTGGGCCAGAAAGTGTGAGAGCGATTTGGGGATTAGGAAAGAGAGAAGCAGAGAAGGAGACGTCATTGCTAAAATTATAACAAACTTGGAAAGCAAATACTTTAATTTATGTTTGCCAGGAAAAATGAAAGAAGGGCTTGCAAGCTTGCAACAACAGATCCTGCTGGGTTCAGAAGAAGGGGTGAGCAACCATAATCAACACACAGACACAAACACACACCCCACAGACCATATATGGTCCCCAGCCTATTTTTGCGGCAAACTATGCTACCAAATGTTGTTAGCAAAGAGAAGAGACTATGGAAGGAGATCTTTTAACTCCATGCCAAGTTGGGGTTTGTGTGTGTGTATATTTGTATGTTTGTGTGTATGTAAAAGATGATGTGCGTTAAGCTTCAATCAAGTTAACTAATTATTCCTTTAAAACTAATGATTCCCTTAAAATTATTAATGTTAAAATTATTCCTTTGAAACACCTTGAAATGGGATTGGCAACTGGGCTATCCTCACCGCATTTCTTGAGAATCTAGTAAAAATAATAATAACAACAACAGTAACACAAAGTCCCTAGCTAAATATAAATGCCCCCCCCCCTCTTTCTGCTTTAGAGGAGCTAGAGGAACACAGCCCAAAATACGAAACCTGGGCACTTGTTCCTGGTCACTTAATTTAGTGATTTGGTATTTATTGGTTTATAGTACTATTTATATTCCAACTGGTGCCATCTCAGATGACAGGGAAATTTCTTACCCCTGCCAAAATCCTGCTGCTAATCTTGTTTTTATCAAGAACTCGAAGGACAAAGGACACAGGCTGTAGCCCTGTGAATCTGATTCATACAACATGCTAAGATCATGGAAGAGGATCATGCTACACATCCAAACTTATTTCAGCCTGATCAAAAATCTTGTGTGAACCCAACTGGTTTCTAGCTCAGCTCAGGACCTTCTGTTAAAAAAGACCCACAGATGAGACAGGAAACATTGTTCAAAAAGATGTTGTTTGCTATCTTTTTTAAGTAATTCCTTCCGAACATGCTGGATTACAAGCCCCATCATTCCCAGCCAACCCAGTCCAAGAGAGGAATTCTGGGCTTTGCAATCCAACAGACATCCTGAACTAGTGGAACAGCTTGCCTTCAGAAACTATGGGTGCTCCATCACTGGAGGTTTTTAAGAAGAAAAGACTGGACAGCCACCTGTCTGAAATGGTAAAGGGCCTCCTGCCTGAGCAGGGGGCTGGACTAGATGACCTCCAAGATTCCTTCCAGCTCTATTCTGATTGACTGATTGAATATAAGTCTGGAGGTGGCTGGAATACAACTTAATGGCAGAGAGCAGTGTTTCTCAACCTCAGCAACTTTAAGATAGGTTTGTGGACTTTCAACTCCCAGAATTCCCCACTGAAAAAAGTGTCTTATGACTGATGACACTTAGGATGGTGCAGCATCCCCACGATCACTTTTATCAAAATTCATGTGCTTGGCAACCGGCATGTGTTTAAACCACTGCAGCGTCCCAGGGTCACGTGATCACCCTTTGCAACTTTTCCAACAAGCAAAGTCAGTGGGGAAAGCCAGATTCGCTTAACAACTGCAGGGATTTGCTTAACAGTTATGACAAGAAAGGTCATAAAAGCGGCTGCAGCTTACTTAATTGCCTTGTTAAGCAACAGAAAGTTTGGGCTCCCCTGTGGTCTTTTTACAACTCTAAATTTTTCTTTAAAACCAATACATCATTTTCTCTCACTGTCTCTTAACACAGATATTCTCAAATACATTTTCAATAAAATTTTGCATTAAGTGACTTACAAAAAAGCTACCCTTTGACCAAAGTGGGAGTCAAGATGGAGGAGCAAATGATTAGAGATGTATTTGAAATTTGTCTAAATAAAATTCAACGGTTTGTAGATCAGTTGTGCTCCCAGAATGATTTTTTTAAAAAAAACAAACCTTCTCAAACTATTTTAGAGAAGAAAACATGTGTAAAAAGTTACCAAAACTACCAAGGCATCTTCATAAGCAGCTGAAAACGCAGAGGAGTCAACTGCAATTCTGAAATATAAACCTGGACACCCATTCTTATTATGAAGGCAGGACAAGAAGCAACGGGTGGAAGCTAACCAAAGACAGAAGCAACCTAGAACTAAGGAGAAACTTCCTGACAGTGAGAAAAATTAACCAGTGGAACAACCTGCCTCCAGAAGCGGTGAATGCTCCAACACTGGAAGTTTTTAAGAAGAGACTGGACGACCATTTGTCTGTACTGGTATAGGGTTTCCTGCCTGAGCAGGGGGTTGGACTAGATGACCTCCAAGGTCCCTTCCAACTTTATCATCATCATCATCATCATCATCATCATCATCATCATCATCATCATCATCATTATTATTATTATTATGGTTTAAATATAAATCTCTCAATACAACGGAAAGAAGAGCTTCAAGAAAATCCGCAACTTTTAAAAGGGCAGGTTTGGGACTTTTTCTATCAACGGTGGTCTTAAATCGAGCCCTCCCTGGGTCCAATCAGTGCAACCAAAGGAAAAAGGTGGTGGCAGAAATGGCGTTGCAGGCCTGGCAAACTCACCTGGGCCACCATGACGAAGCGGGTGATGACTTGGGCCCGCTGCTGAGCGGTGGGTTTGCTAAGCACCATCAGCTGAATCCACTGGGAGACGCTGTTGAAGAGAGTGATGAACCTCTCCAGGACTGGGTTGTCCACTGTGCATCCGTGCATCACAAAACTGTGATAATCCTGGAACTGGGAAAATGGGGAGAGGGCTTTCAGGGCTCATGAAGAGGGAGGGGGGTCACAGTTGGAACAAGGAGGAGCTCCAGAGATGCCTCCAAGGCTCGTGCTGTTCTGAGAGCAGCAAATACAGGGAGTCCTGGACTTAACAACAGTTCCTTTAGTTCAAAGTTACAACGGGACCGAAAAAAGTCACCTATGACTGTTTGTCGTGCTTATGGCCGTTGCAGCCTTCCCCATGGTCATGTGGTCAAAATTTGGTTGCTTGGCAACCGGTTCATATTTATGAACTGTTGCACTGTCCCAGGGTTACATGATCCCCTTTTGCGACCTTCTGACAAGCAAAGCCACTGGGGAAGCCAGATTCGCTGAACAACTGCAGTGATTCACTTAACAACTGTGACAAGAAAGGTCTTAAAATGGGGAGCAAAACTCACTTCACAAATGCCTCGCGTCGCAACAGAAATTTTGAGCTCAACTGTAGTCATAAGTCAAAGGACTACCTGTACTTTCGGAGGCCACTGGTCTATCTGGCCTTAAGGTAGGACTGGGACTTCAATCAGAGCCTTTCTGGCTAAGGATGATGGGAGCTGAAGTCCTCCTCTCCCACCCTCCAGGCACTCACCAGGATTTTGCTGAAGGAGCGGTATTCAAGGTGGGTGAGATGTTCTGCCAGCTCTCCTGACTCCAGGTGGTCAAAAAGCAGTGACATCTTGCGCTTCTTTTGTGCAATGGGGTGACGTTGTGTCACTTGTCTCTTCCACTTGTAAGTCGGGCTGGATGGAGGAATCCCCCCAAAAAACAAAACCACCCTGAATTCAACAACTCAAAAAGGAAAAAAATAAACTGAAATAGTCATCAAGAACATCAACAATATTAATTGACCTGAAGCACCCCTCACCTTAACATCTGCTAGAGTCCAAGCCAACTGTCTAGATTTTTGCCCAACCTGCTTAACTTGGTTACTAAATTAAGCTATTTCCTGAGTTTGTACAATGGCCTGAATCGTCAACTCTCTAACTGGAATGGGCTTCCCCCAACATACCCATCTTCCCCTTGTTCTCTGCTCTATTCATACATCTTTCTTTTTTTGGTAATCATATTGATATATTATGTTGTGTTCTTTTTTATTGTTTATTACAGGGGTCTCCAAATTTGTCAGCTTTAAGACTTGTGGACTTCAACTCCCAGGATTCCTCAGCCAGCATGCTGGGAATTGAAGTCCACAAGTCTTAAAAGTCGCCAAGTTTGGAGACCCCTGGTTTATTGTACCATTCTACTATCTTACTTCTGTTCACACCCTTTTCATTTCTTCCCTTTTATTGTAGTAGAGAAGCCTCACGGCGAGATAGGCGGCAAATTAATTTAACAAATCAATAAATACAGAGCCACTCCAAGTCCAACAAACCATCCAATTTCTTGCGCAACGAATCACATTTGGTGTTACATCCAGCCAAAAGTAATCCTAAGTGAAACTGGAAGTGCTGTGGGAGGATCAGAAGAGATATGGACGCTCAAGTCCGGTCCTGCCCTTTACCTACACGCTCTCGATATCAATCAGGTTGCTGTGTCGGCGGCTTCCTTCCCGTCCAAGAAGTTCCTTCAGCGCCTTGATCTGCTCAGCCAGTTCTGGGTTGAGGTCAAACTCTGCAGGGAAGGCTGAGACCCAGTACCTGTCAGGATGAATAGGTAGGACTTAATACCCCAAAGTGAAGTTCTTCTAGGAAAACGATTTCTCTCCCCACCCAAGAATACACCCCGGATCTTCAGATGAGTTGGATTGTCTTCTCTCAAACATCTCAAGGCGTTGGCCAAGTTCTGCCTTGCTGGAGGTCACTAAGTCTATATTTTTTCATGTACAAAACCCAATATGGCACCCTCCAGGATTAGAACATAGAATAATAAAATTGGAAGGGATCTTGGAGATCTCTAGTCCAAGCAGGAAACACTATATCATTCCAGACAAATGGCTGTCCAGTCTTTTCTTGAAAACCTCCAGTGATGGAGCACCCACAACTTCTGGAGGCAAGCCGTTCCACTGATTAATTGTTCGGTCAGGAATTTTCTCCTTAGTTCTAGGTTGCTTCTCTCCTTGATAAGTTTCCACTTGTTACCTCTTTTCCTGCCTTCAGGTACTTTAGAGAATAGGTTGACGCCCTCTTCTCTGTGACAGCCTCTCAAATATTGGAACGCTGCTATCATGTCATCCCTAGTTCTTCTTTTCATTAAACTAGACATACCCAATTCCTGCAACCGTTCTTCGTATGTTTTAGCCTCCAGCCCCCTAATCATCTTTGTTGCGCTTCTCTGCACTCTTTCTAGGGTCTCAACATCTTTTTTTAATTGTTGACCCCTCTCCTGAGTTAACCCCATCAAGTCAATCTTCCTGGAACAACAGTTGGTGATGCCTTAATTCCATAAGAAAACAGAGAGCTGAAGACAAAAAGGGGTTTCTTTTCCTAATATTATGGGGCTAACACTCTAGAACAGGGGTCTCCAAACTTGTCAACTTTAAGACTTGTGGACTTCAACTCCCAGGATAGCTGGCTGGCTGGGGAATTCTGGGAGTTGAAGTCCACAAGTCTTAAAGTTGACAAGTTTGGAGACCCCTGTTCTAGAAGAACTTCCCCCAAGAAGCTAAATCGGCCCTCTTGTGAACGAATGAACGGGTCAGCAGCCAAAAAACAGCACTCCATCAAAGCTGTACACAGAGCTAACCTTCTGATTGCCTCCATCCTGCTTCTCCCCAGAACTATGTTCAAGCATTCCCAGCCACTCACCTGACTAGATGGCAAGTTTTAACTGGCAGGGAACTGTTTTCTGATCCGCGAGAGTCTTGATAAGTTCAGGACAAGAATTAAGGAGCAAATAAAAGAGGGTAATAGGCATATGTATTTCTCTGCGTTACTTCCATATACAAATAGTTCTTGACTTACAACAGTTCACTTAGTAAATTCATTTAGTTCGAAGTTAACAATGTGACTGGAAAAAGTGACCTATGACCGTTTCCCACACTTACAACCATTGCAGCATCCTCATGGCCACGTGATCAAAATTCAGATGCCTGGCAACTGACTCACATTTATGATGGTTGCCGGTGATGTGATCCCCTTTTGTGACCTTCTGACAAGCTAAATCAATGGGGAAGCCAGATTCATAACTGCAATGATTCACTTAACAACTATAATAATAATAATAATAATAATAATAATAATAATAATAATAATAATAATAATAATAATAATAATAATAATAATAATAATAATAATAAAAAAGTTGGAAGGGACCTTGGAGGTCATCTAGTCCAACCCCCTGCTCAGGCAGGAAACCCTATAATACCATTTCAGACAAATGGCTGTGGCAGGAAAGGTCGTAAAATGAGGCAAAACTCACTTAACCAATGTCTCACTTAGCAACAGAAATTCTGGGCTCAATTGTAGTCGTAATTCAAGGGCTACCTGTATTTGGGTTTGTTTTCATTCAGGCATTCAGCCCCAAACTATGTTCCACAAAATACAATGGTTAGACTAGAAGACCTCCAAGGTCCCTCCCAACTCTGTTATTCTGTTATTCTAAGGAACAGAATAATGCCTAATCAAATAAGCTGTGCCATTCAAAGAGAATTGCAAAATATGCAAGAGAATGGCTGTGGTGTCACAACACAACAGTCACAAACTACCCAATTCTACGCGCTTAACCCAACCAGTCGTGCGAACATAAGCCTTGTGCTTTGCGCAGGCATCTTAAGTCTCGTCACCTTGCAGGAAAGATAAGTAAAATATAAAAATGTAATAAGTAAAAAATTTAACTGGAGAGCGTCGGATCCAGGAGCCGAGATTTAGTATTCCGGAGATGTTCAAGCTATCCGTGTCTGATCTCTCTTTCCATTTAATTCATACAGCAAATTATATTACTGTAAAATCTCAAGCTAACAGCTTTGGGATTTAACAGACCAACGTTGAGTTCTCAATTTTTTCTTTGCTAAAGAATGGGAGAGTTCACTCCGCGACAGTCAATGAAAAGCAGATAATCATAATTTAAATGTAAATCAGAATACAACTTTTAAAAAAAAAAAATCATAGTCATTTGACAGTTGCAAAAACAAGGGACAGATACAAAGTAGAGAGGATGCAGACTAGCTCATTACAGGCTGTCCTCAACTTGTCATTCATTTAGTGACTGCTCAAAGTTACAAGTCACACAATTGACTTAGGACCAGTCCTCACACTTACAACCATTGCAGCATCCCTATGGTCACGTGATCAACATTTGGGTGCTTGGTAACCAGCATGTATTTATGACAATTTAAACTTTACAGCATCCTGGGGTCAGGTGATCACTATTTGCCAAGATTGAGAAAAACAGAACACAGAATAACAGAGTTGGATGAGACCATGGAGATCTTCAAGTCCAATCCCCTGCTTGAACAGGAGATCCTATACTATTCCGGACAAATGGCTGTCCAATCTCTTCTTAAAAGCCTCCAGTGATGGAGCCCCCATAACTTCTGGAGGCAAGTTATTCCACTGATTAATTGTTCTCACTGTCAGGAAGTTTCTCCTTCGTTGTAGGTTGCTTCTCCCCTTGATTAGTTTCCATCCGTTGCTTCTTGTCCTGCCTTCAGGGGCTTTGGAGAATAACTTGCCTACAGGCTGTGAGGTCTCAGTGAGGAACAACAGGCTTCAACTAAACCCGTATTGTTCAACCTTTCCCACTAGGATGTGTGGACTTCAGCTCCCAGAATTCCTCTGCCAGCCACGCTAGTTGAGAGAACGCTGGAAACTGAAGTCCACACATCTTAGAAGGGTCAAGGTTGAGAAACACTGCACTAAGTTAACTTAAGAAACAGGTCCCCTCGCAATAGAAACCGAAGGGGCAGAACTGGGTGCCAGTCCAAAGGATATATCTGAAGCAGTTTCGCTGCCATCTCGGAAGACGGGATGTACCATGGATGCATCATGAGAAACATGCGGACCAGCTGTGGGTCCCGAACCTTGCCCTCATCGTCTGCAAAAAAAAAGGGGGGGAAGCATGTCAGAACCTAAGCCCAGATGAAGCAACCCCTGTGAATGCAGGCCCATCAGATTTAAAACACAATTTGTCATAGTCTGTCTCTAAGCATTCTTTTCCACCAGTTTGTCAAATCCTGCTTCTTCTGAGAGGAGGTTTCCAAGTTACAGGTAGTCCTCGAGTTACAACCATTCGTTTATTGATCATTTTCGATGATTCAACAGCACTGCAAAAAGCGACTTAAGACCACTTTTCACTTACGATTGTTGCAGCACCCCACTGCCGCGTGATCACAATTCAGACACTCTGCAACCGACTCATAATGGTTGCAGTGTCCCTGGGTCAGGTGATCCCCTTTTGCAAACTTTTGGCCAGTAAAGCCAATGGGGAAGAAGCTCCATTAATTTAACAACTTCAGTGATTCACTTAACAATGGCAAGAAAGATTGTAAAATGGGCAAAATTCACTTAACGACCGTCTTGCTTAGCAACAAAAATTGGGGGCTCAATTGTGGTTGTAAATTGAGGACTACCAATAGAATAGAATAGAATAGAATAGAATAGAATAGAATAGAATAGAATAGAATAGAATAATGGATGAGAATGGAATGGAATGGAATAGACTGGAATAGAATATAGAATGGAATGGAATGGAAATAGGAATAGGAATAGAATGGAAATAGGAATAGAATAGAATAGAATAGAATAGAATAGAATAGAATAGAATAGAATAGAATAGAATAGAATAGAATAATGGATGAGAATGGAATGGAATAGACTGGAATAGAATATAGAATGGAATGGAATGGAATGAAATGGAAATAGGAATAGAATGGAAATAGGAATAGAATAGAATAGAATAGAATAGAATAGAATAGAATAGAATAGAATAGAATAGAATAGAAATGCAATAGAATTGGAATTGGAATTGGAATGGAATGAAATAAGCTTTGAGAGGATAGGATAGATAGAATATATAATAAATATAATAATATAAAACAACACAACATCAAAAAATAATATATAAATCCAATCTCACCATTTGCACTTATGGTCATTGTTAAAGTGGCAATGAGTTCCCTAATCTCCAACTTCACTTGTAGCCCACTGACTGTAAACCCCAATTAAGCATTATAGTTATGACAAACAGAGCTTGCATTTTATACCCAGCAGTTGCTGGAATTCCTTCATAGTGACTTTTTTTAGATTTTCTGCAATAAAATGAAAGCTACTTCTCAAAGCTTAGTGAATTCTTTTAGGCTCATTTAAGGGTTTCCAGTCCAGCCTTCTGGGAAGAGAAGCTGGAGAGTCACTTATTGCAACTAACGCAGCTTGCAAGTTTGCAACAGATTCAGGCAGAGAATTGCATCATGTCTGCAATGATGTCATTAGATAGCCTCCATCCTTACCAAAGGCCTCAATGCATCCATGTAACACTTCATCCACCGTGCATCCTTTTTCCAGATCTAGAGTTGCAGACATTTTGGCTCTTGGATCTTACCGCTCAAAATCAACCCAAGGCTGCAACTTCTTTAGCAAATAGGGCGACACCTAAAAAAGATTTTAAAAACAAATCCAAACATTCGTGTTTAGTTACAGGGATCACAGAGATGGAACACTTAAAGATCAAATCTGGTTCCAGACGAATAAAACTATCATAAATATGGGTAGGCCTCAACTTATTCATTGAACAACAGTTTGAAACTATAACCGCCTTGGGGGGAAAAAATGACTTCTCGCTTTTCTCTAAGTTACAACTGTTACATCACTCCTATGGTCATTTGGGTGCTTGACCCGCATTTACAACGGTTGCAGTGATTTGTGACCTTCTGACAAGAAAAGTCAATTGGAAAAGCCAGATTCCTTTAATGACCGTGGTAAAAATGATCATAAAATTGGGTAACGAGTCACTTAACAACCGATCGCTTCATGATCAAAATTCCAGCCCCATACGTTGGCCATACGTTGAGGACTACTTGTCAACGAGGAATAATACCGTAAAGGTTCTGGGCATGTTAGCTTGCGAGAGAGATGATGCCGGTCTTCCAAAATCCGAAGGGTTGTTCAACAGAAGGGAGGTGGATCTGTTCTTGGATGCTCCATAAACCAGAACTGATGAGTTAAAACTGCCCTGAAGGAGGTTCAGGCTAAATAGGAAGAGGAAAACGTTGATTGTGCTAGTTCCAAGCCAATGGAACAGACTGCCACATGAAATGGGGAACTCCAGACAGAGGCTGCAAAGCCAAGTGTCAGTGTGACTCCTGAACTGACCATCGGCTTGGACCAGATGAAGTCTAACTGTATGAATTCCATGAAATAATCGACTTTACAACCATTCGTTTAGTGACCGTTCCGTTACAATCGCACTGAAAAAGCTGACATGACTGATTTTTCACTGAGGACCGTTGCAGCGTCCCCATGGTCACGTGATCAAAATTCAGACGCTTGCCGACTGACTCATATTTATGACAGTTTCAATGTCCTGCGGTCACGTGATCCCCTTTTGAGACCTTTGACAAGAAAAGTCAAGTGTGAAGCCAGAGTCGCTTAACAGTCGTGTTCTTAACAACTGAGTGGTTCAGTTAACAACTGTGGAAAGGTCATAAAATGGGGCAAAACTCACTTAATAGAAATGTTGGGGTCAGTTGTGGTCATAAGTCAAGGACTACCTGTGTTTCATTCAGTTATTTCTCCTATAAAAACAGCTTTGGTAAATCTACCTTCTTCTCACATTGTTTGAGAATTTCTTTTATGCTTCTCTGGCTTCTTCTTTTCTTTTTTTTAATCCTCCATTTATCGTTAAAATATTGCAAAACAAAGTAAGTTTAAAAAAAAAAAGCAAGATAAAGGAGGCAAACAAAAAAAAAAACTGCCATGTTTCCATTTTAAGAGACCCCAGTGAAAAAAGGAAAATTAAATTACATTTACATGATAGATTCTCTATTTCTTTTCCATCTGTATCCACAACCGCTGGGCACCATTTAGCTATTTGAACTTTGCATCGCGCATTAGTAAGAGATGCTACTTTCTAGCTGAGCCCTCAAAACGATATTCCAGATGTCTAAATCTCCTTTTCTCTGTGATAGATTGCATGTGAGGGAGCCATTCCTGCTTGAATGGAGTTAAACTTCCATTATCAAGAGATATATATCATCGGTTTTGACACCGCAGCATATTCTCCAATTTTAGCCTCACACTCTGATATCGGAGGCAAAGTATGTCGTTTCCAATTCTGTGCTAAGTTTATTCTGCTGCGGTGAGTCGGCACCTTAGTAAATGTTGGCATTTTTCCCCCCAATCATTTTATTCCCCTGGAATTATGTTGAATAGAAATATCTGGGGTTTAAGTTCATATATTTTAAATGTTGTTTCGGATTTTTTGATGCATTTCTAATACGGTCGTCCTCAAATTATGACAAAATTGAGCCCAAAATTTCTGTTGCTAAGTGAGACATTTGTTAAGTGAGAGTTTTGCTCCATTTTAACGACCTTTCTTGTCACAGTTGTTAAGTTGATAACATGGTTGCTAAGTGAATCTGGTTTCCCCCATTGACGTTGCTCGTCAGGAAGTCACAAAAGGGGGATCACGTGACCCCGGGACACTGCGACCGTCATAAATATGAGTCAGTTGCCAAGCACCTGAATTTTGATCGCATGATCATTGGGATGCTGCAAAGGTTGTAACTGTGAAAAACGGTCATAAGTCACTTTTTTCAGTGCCGTTGTAACTTCGAACTTTAACATGTTGTGTGAATGCAAAAACTGACACTGATGACATGGAGGAATTGGGCCCCTGAGTAATAAACTTAGGAAGAGAAATTCCCAATAAGTTTCTTCTCTGCTCCGGAGTCCATAGTAAAAGGACTAAACGGAGACTTGAAAGTCACAGTGACTTCACTTCGCTATCTTCCACGGAGATGCTGTTTAAAAGGAAAGCAGCTGCTTCACACATCGCGAACACTTTGTGCCAACGCAATCAGTGTGAGGGTAACACTAGCCGGCTACGTCTTCTTGACATTTTCTCTGAAGGAGGATACTGCCATCCAAACTATATGGGGAGTCCTCAGCTTCCTGGCGACTCCTCCGTCTGAATTTCTAAAAATATGGTTTTATTTTAGAAAAACCAGTGGGAAGTCAGCCTACAGAAAAAGCTCAACTCAGCTTTGTTTTGATTCCCCAGAGTGTCTCAGGACACCCAGACAGATTTCTAGTTTTTCCTAGACAACAGCAATGAGGACAAATGTACAAATCTTTGTTTGGCAATGAGGTATATTTCATTGAAAATTTTACACCAGAAGGGTTTAAGTCTTTGAAGTGGGTGGCCATAACAAATTTAACAATAATAATAGTTCCTTAGGAAGGACTTGATAGGTGGGTAAACATGCCAAATCCAGTCTAAACATCTGGCTGACTGCAAGGGAGAACCAGAACTTAAGAACTGTTGATAAGAAAGACAAAAAAGTCTGGATAGTGGGCGTTGCACTTCCTGGAGACAGCAAGAAGAGAAGAGAAAGACCGGGAGAAAAATCATAAAATACAAAGATTTGCAAATAGGAATGGAACATCTATGGCAAAAGAAAGCAAAAGTAGTCCCAATAGTAATAGGTGCCTTGGGTGCAAACCCAAAACATCTGGAGCATCATTTGAACACCATTGGCATTGACAAATTCACCATTCATCAATTGCAAAAGGCAGCTGTACAATGCCTTGATAAATCCACATTTGGAATACTGCATCCAGTTTTAGTCGCCATGATATAAAAAAAAATATGTTGAGACTCTAAGAAAGAGTGCAGAGAAGAGCAACAAAGACGATGAGGGGGCTGGAGAATAAAACATACAAAGAACGGTTGCAGGAATTGGGTATGTCTAGTTTAATGAAAAGAAGGACTGGACGCAGGGGTGTCAAACTGCCGGCCCGCGGGCCAGATACGTCACGCCATATCTACACTAATCTAAACAAGATTTAGCACCAGTAACCTTCCAGTAAAATTTTCAAAATTAATTTTAATTCTGATTTGTAAAGGACACAGCCTTTTAGTGAGTGCCCCCGATGCCAGGCATTCCAAATGGCAAACATCTTGCCACTCCCTCTTAGAACCGTCTTCTGCCAAAATGATGTGCTGGGGATGATGGGAGATGAAGTCCGCCACAACCTGCTGGCTGGGGGGAAGGAGTACCCACCCTCTATGCCAGAGGGTGCTTTAGACCTTCGGTCGAGAAAAGAAGACGAAGCTGGGTTAAAAAGTGCCCTTTTGGAGGCAAAGTCGCCAAGTGTCCACCCCCAGCGTCAATTTTCTCAATAAACCCTGACTTCTCGCTGCCCACCAGCTGTGAAAGGGCCTTTGAAGCTGAATTAATTAGTGGGAAGGCTGATTAGCCATCCATTAATGGATGATCTTTTGGCAAATACCACAGGATAAACGTAGAACCCTTAAGAGAGAGATGTAAATTGGGGTTGTGTCTGATGTGTGTGTGAATTCTTCGTCTCGTGGGTGGGCAACTGGCCTTGCTCCCAACCAGGGCGGGTTCTCACAATGCATCAAACCCAGTTAGCAAAAGAAGGAGGAGCCCCACAGCCTGCCAAGTGGCATCCTTTAAACCCAGATATATTTTTCTCCTGCCTGCCTGTGTATGAACCGGCCTCCAGGTCTGCTTAGTTTTTCAAACTCCTCTGTGCACTAAGACGACAAGACAAAATCCAGCATTGTGTGGAAGAGGTTGTGGGAACTCACTGGAAAAGACCCCAGACCTGAAAGGGGGGCTTTCTGCCCCAAATTGCCAGTCCTGGTTGTCCTTGACTTACAACCATTTGTTAAGCAACCATTCAAAGTTACAACAGCACTGAAAAAAGTGACTTGCGAGCGGTCCTCACACTTACGACTGTCACAGCATCCCCATTGTCATGTGATCAAAATTCGGGCACTTGGCAACAGCCATGCATTTCCAACGGTTGCAGCGTCCCGGATCATCTGATCGCCGTTTGTGATCTTCGCAGCCGGCTTTTGATGAGCAAAATCAATGGGGGAAGCTGGATTCAATTAACAACCGCACTGATTTGCTTAACAACCATGGCACAAGGTCATAAAATCAGGCACAACTCACTTAGCAACTGCTTTGCCGGTCCCAATTGTTGTAAGTTGAGGACTATGAGAAAGACTCCTGTTTTATGCCTCTTGTTCAGGTATTTGAGACATCCCCAGGGCCAAGCTGAGCTAGAAGGACTTCTGGCCCCAGCTCCATTTTGTCTCTCTTTAAATCTGTGCTTGATTTAGAAGCAAGAGGACTAGCAACTTACTTTCCAAAGAGAATAGCAGCAAAGCACATACATTGCAGGCAAAAGTAGAATAAGAAACCTTAATTAATCAGACAAATAGATCTGATATGCAGCTCTCCAGAGATTCCATTTAACTCTCAACCCCATAAATTAAATTATATTTACATGTAGTCCTCAATTTACAACCACAAGCGGGACCAGAATTTCAAGCAAGGTGGTTATTAAATGACTCATGTCCGATTTTACCTTTACCTGCCTCCAGAAGCGGTGAATGCTCCAACACTGGAAGTTTTTAAGAAGAGAGTGGACAGCCATTTGTCTGAAATGGTATAGGGTTTCCTGCCTGAGCAGGGGGTTGGACTAGATGACCTCCAAGGTCCCTTCCAACTTTATATTATTATTATTATTATTATTATTATTATTATTATTATTACTATTACTATTACTATTACTATTATTCCTTTTCTCAGGGCTGTTTAACTTCGAATAGTTGCTCCATTCTAGCTAAACATTCTGCTTCCAGCGCGTCTGAAGTCAAAAAACTTTGCACATGGTTTGCAAACTGGTGTGACACCTACAACTACAGTATATTTTAGAAACAGCTACTTTTGGGGGAGTGCTCTTGGGATGTGCTCAGGGTGTAATTTCTGGGAGGAAACCTCTCCTGGTTGCACCAGTGTTGCTTCAGAGTGAAGGCGTCAAAGAGTGCAAGAAAATTGTCATGCGTTGTGCAAAA